ATAGTTATTTTCTATAGATTAAATACTTCTCCATTAACAAAAACTATTATTCAACGTTTTATCTTCGGGGAGAAATAAACAGAAATAGATAGATAGATATCATGACTGGCAGTGGCTTGCACACACATACATATATACTATGGACAGAGAAAGAGATGGATAGATAGATAATGTCATCTCTTAGCGTAATTAAAATTCGAGTTCAAAGCGTTATCGGTCACAGCAGTTTTCAATCTATTGTTTTTCAGGATAAGAGGTCAGTTTATATGTATATAATTTTTTTACTATGTAACATTTTATATATAATTTATTGTAAATAGTCATAATAGGAATATGATTCAACTAATATTAGCAAAACAGAACTCTTTCAGGTTACTAACCAACTATTAACTTATTGCCCAACAAATATGCCCAAGGAAAGGGAGATGGATCGGGTATACCCCGAAGAAACAGTTGGGTGACATCACGCGTCCCACCCTCGAGTGGTATCCAAAGAGGAAACGACAAGTTGGGCGTTCTAGGAGATGAAAGCTAATAAGCAGTTGTGGAGTCAGATAAAGAGGACTGCAGAAAAGACGGTGAAATGAAGATGTACTGTTGAAGCCCACAGGGAAATAATAATAGTACACGGAATGTTAATATGCTATTTCCCAGTTAAAGTAATGTTTTAAAGATATATGAATGTAAAGATTAACGTGTAGGGGGAGAAGTTAAACTAAATTAACTGAATTGCACTTTCAACATGATTCTTTGCAACAAATTGTATTTAAAGTGTTCTATAGTAAAAACATTCAAATGGAATCTTAGATTGAGTTAACTAAGAGTCGTGATAGACCGCAGTAAGAAAACACTACTCAACAATTATAAACAGTTATATGAAATTAACAATGAATCACCTCTACTGTGTAAGAGATTACAGTACTCACTGGGTTGTACAAATTAGATTAGGAGGAGAGAGGGTTCAAACCCGTGAACTAAGAGACAACAAGCTACAACTTCATGAACTGAATATTACCTCATGTTTGTATTATTCACACAATCTTAAATTTGATTATTTACTATTAATACATAAAAAATGATTCCATTCAACGAATGCAACATCAAGGGGATGATATTTAATTGAACACGTTGATAGTAGCATACAAGCGCATTTGAACACCTACCATATATATATATATATATATATATATATATATATATATATATATATATATATTCCTATTCCAATTGTATTCAATGCATCAATTCACTTATTCGTTGCTATGACCACTTTAACTATTGACCATAAAGCAGATTGTATATATTGATACAGAATAATAAAAATATAGTATGATGAAAATATTTATACCCTTAAGTCAAAAATTATATTTCTAATAAAAAAAGTTACATTATGTGTCCAAAAAATAGTCGGCTTCCGTTATTATCTATTCTTACTTGTAACATTTACATCAAGTAGTTATATGAATAACTAAAAGTGAAGAGAGACAATCCAAGGAATAGACGGTAATAAGCAGAAATATATGTACTGATTTAGCATTAATTAAAATGTTTTTGTTAGCTTTAATACCAATTCCCGATATAGTGAATATTTTGTGTGCACAGACTTAAAGTATGATCCACTAACCGGCGGAGCATCGTCAGGAGCTACATTCCCATTGATGCCGGTGGCCGGGACAGGTTCATATACAATTCAATCCAATTGGGTTCTGTAACCCGTGTACAGCATAATCAGGATTTTCCAGCCCCCTCCCTACAGGTAGATCTTAATGTTCATCATTCAACTGTTAGCTATAGACGTTCTCAATTACCTTTTGACTTTTGCGACGCTTAAGGCCTAGTATTTTGTAACCTAGTAAAGTTGTAAATTGCATAGCAATTTATAAATCCCAAAAACTCACACTTATCTTTTTATTAAAGCAGGCAATAAATTTAATATTTGAAGAGTAGTCAAAGCATTGGTTAAATGAAGGTTCTTATGAAGTACAGGAGATTCGAATTTCCAGTTTCTAATAAGATATATCAGTTGACAAGAAATTCTGTCTTCCACTACCACACATACACCAGTAGCGTTTTGCGAACAATGACTATTGAAGAACATGAACTTTCATATGTTCTTTTGCTGAAGATTCCCTGAATTAGCTCATTCAAGTTTGCATTTTATTTACGGGGACATGCGAATCACCATCACCATAATAGATGTTGGTTTATATAAAATTTACAAAAGAATTTCGCACAGAAGTGCAGCTGTTCAAGTTTTTTTTCTCTATACAGCATAAAAAGTACAGAAAAGAAATGCAAAAGAACTTCAATGAGCAGAGATGTTAGGAAGACTTGATAGTAACATGTAAAAACATGAGAATTTATTAAATCTGCATGACAAGTGAATCTATCTGGAGCATTGATTTTGAACTATATAATCACTAACGTCCTGTACTCATTGGGAAGTTTACACTTTTCTACTTGGCTGGCTTACACTGACTGTCAAAAACTTCGTGAACTGATTTCAAGTTCTGGTGTGACAATCCCCAATTTGTTCGACGCCAAGTCCTATGAGAGCTAACACTGTTCATCGAAACCGATGGCTTGGTATGTGCAACACATGTCCTGGCTATCTCAGTAAGTGTAGCATCGCAACCTTATCAACTGGCTTGTTCTCTTCACCGAATACTCCACACCTATGCTCAATATTACTGACCTTATTATACCACTTTAATCGAGAAAAAGAAAACAAACACCTATGATAAAAAAACAGCAACACTCTTAATGTCGTCATCCACTTTCAATGTCCATGTCTCAGTCATAAAGAGCAGCACTCATGTCCTTAGTTCGATAGACAGATACTACGTCTATGCCAGAGATGATGTTATCTGCCAAATGCCCAACGAGCCTCTTTTTTATTCGTGCTGAGATTTTGTTAGCAATCAGTTCACTAGGCTAATTTAGTTTGATTGGTTGGTTGAAATATTTCACCATGAGCTGACATCAGCTAGAGAACCACTGGAAAATCAGCTGGGAGTACTGGACAGCTGTTTCGTTCTAGTTTGGGACTCTTCATCAGTACGCACACACTGAAGTTTGAACCCAGCTCACCTTGTGACCAGAGGCCCCTGAGTTCGAACCCCATGGGGTGAGTACTGATAAAGAGTCCAAAACTAGAACGGAACAGCTGTCCAGTACTCCCAGCTGGTTTTTCATTAGTTCTCCAGCTGATTTCAGCTCATGATGAAATCCTCCCACCAACCAATCAAATACAACACATTCCAATCTTACTCAGTTTCAGATTTCATTAATATAAAAATATTATTTCAGCAATGTGAGCATTGAGTATAATTCCATAGTAGAATAGTTTTATTTGATACATTACTTAGTAGTGCAGCACTTTTTTTAAATTTACTGTTGACGCTTCGAAGACAATTACCAATAGTCATATCATATACTTTCCTATTAGACACTAGTATGAGTGTTTTATGAAGATTTCCAATTGTCGTCTGGTATTGTTTTACAACTGCTGATAAAATAATTTCCATTTTCTCTCCCTCTCTCTCTCTCTCTCAACTCCTTAGTAGACTTTCGTAAGACGCCCTTATATGATATAATATGCGGAGGATTAAGTAGTTAGTTGGTTACACAATTGTGTCTATTCCTTTGCTATAAGCCCTAAATTTAAGTGTAACTTATCACTGTTTGATTTTATACGCATAGACATCATATGACCACGTTATACAAGTAAGTAAATAACTCTTCATAAGAAAGAAAAAAATCTAACTCCACTCAGATATTAATAAAACAGAACAAAGCAAAAAGTAGAAAGAAGAAAAACGCAATTGCTATACACTAAAATTATAATTATAATAGTAATAATAATAATAATCTTTAAAACAAACAGTAAAACAGTCCCGGTTAAATATCACAGACTACAATTTTCTTTGGAGGAAATTTTGTGACATAGGTGAAAAATAAAACAATAAACGTTCGAGAACACTACTGCGTACCAGACTGCATACAATGTTCCCGTAACAGTAATAATAATAATAACAATTCTCAGTGTGCGAATAATAACAATGATATAATTTGAATTTCTCTAACAAAAAAGAAAGAAATGCATTCTAACACTTCAAGAAAGGATATGAATAGGATAGGATATAAATTAGTATAACTAGTAATAAATAAATCTCTGTGTACGATAGAATACAACGGAGGAAAATAAATAAAAAAGAATGGAAGTAAATGTGAGCAGGGAGGAAAAAACAAACAAACAAGCCAAGTATTGCACAAAAATCAAATGTAAATAGAATAACCTAAGGACGAGTTAAGTGCAAAAGAGAGACAGAGAGAGAGAGAGAGAGGAAAAAACTGGGGGTGGGAGAGAAGGGCGATGAGGGGGACCATGAATCGGGAGGTAATGAGAAAACAGTAATTGTACAAAATGGACTAGAAATATATCGATTTTTTTCTCTACAATGAATAATAATATCTATTGGTAATTTAGAATATGTATATATATATATATATATATATATATATATATGCATATAACCAGTATTTTTTACATATTTATAATTAAGAGTGAATATGGATGAGTGTATGAAAGAGTGAAATCATAAGAAATGCACGTGAGTATGTGTATGTCATGTGTAAAAAACACAAAAAAAAGGGCAGATGAAGAAAATGCTACTAAGGTATGCGTGTGTATGTGTGAGAGAGAGAGAGAAGGAGAAATATTACACAAGGAACAAATGCTTCATTATTTATTTTCAGGTAACAACGTTTTATTAAACCAACCCGGGTAATAATATACTGCTGATGACTAGAAATAACAATTTTTTGGTAAATCATGAAGTTTGGTTTCATCATTATTCACGAGTGAAAATTGTTTACATCATGAAAAATGCATAAAATAACTGGAAGGAGGATTGTATGAAAAAGAGAGAGTCTGTGTGAGAGAGAGAGAGAAAGATAGAGAAAAGCATGGTACAATGAAAAGTGCACAAGGTTACAGTCTATTGATAGCCACCTCGTTGTCGTAATAACCTGAAAAAGAAGTTGTAAATACAAAGTGAATCTCAGAGAAGAGAAAAAATGGAAAAACTAATCAACGCTACACAAACATGAAAGCAAATGTAAAAATATACGTAAATGAATGTGGGAAGAACAAAGAACACCAATACATCATACTTTAAGACCATTTAAGTTTCACAATGTGTGTGAGCTGTGATTAAAAAAGGAAAAGCATAAAAGGAAAGCAATATAAATCATTCAAATAGTAAACCAAAGTTGCAATTTAACAACTAGTTCGCGCAGTTTACACAGTCCGACGAGGTGAAACTTCACCACAGTTCCCCCTAGGGAACTGAAATTATTCAGATATGTGAACCGATTGACGCCGGAAGTGGTAATCAAGAAAACAAGCATGCATAAATGCAAGATGCTATAATATTACCGGCTGATTGAGATGACTAGATGGATACTACACACGCATCAACCAGAAGTGCTTGCCAGCCAGCCGGATTGGAGTGATGTACTCACTGGACTGCTGTTTCGCTCATTTGGTTTCAATTGATTTGTCTCTCTGAGCTGAATCAAACCACGTACACCGCTGATGAGCAGGGCCCTAAACGGCTGTCCAGTGTTTAGATCACCTCGATGTGACTGGCTAGCAAGCACTACTTACTGATATGAGTGGCATACAACTACTCATCTCAATCAATCAGTAGTATGTAGTTCTGTTTTGTCGGTGGCACGGCGGTAGAATGGTCGCCAACCATGCAGGTGGTCCGGGGTTCAATCCCCGGCCGACGCACTTCATTACCTCGCTAAGCCAGTAATAAGACTGGTAAAGAAGGAAGGTTGGACATGAGGCTAGCAACCCCAACCCATAAAAATAAATACCACTGCTACTGAAATTTCAAAGATCTAACTTGAAGCCTCATGATCCACTCAGAACGTATATATATATATATAGTTCTGCTACAGTAACAGTAACTGCACCTTGCTAATGAAAACAGTAAAAGTTACTGTACAAAAATAGTGATCTCGCAAATTTATTATCATTTCCAATCACTTTACTAGTGATCAGTGAATTTCTGTGACTAAATACGAACCTATGCAAGATAATTTCACTGATGAATAACCGAAATAAAATTAGGCTGAATCAACACCAATGTAAAGTCAGTCAGGACCAGATGGAATGCAAGCAGAAGCATTAAATATGGACCCAGATACAACAGCGGACTTGATGACACCACTACTGGAGAAGGTGTGGAAAGAGGGCAAAGTACCCGAGGATTGGAAGAAAGGATACTTATTCAAACTACCAAAGAAAGGAGACTTAAGTCAATGTAAAAACTGGCGTGGAATTATGCTCCTGTCCATCCCAAGCAAAATACTAAGCCGAATCATCCTGGAGAGAATCAAACAAGCCAACCTGGATGAAAAACTTCGACCGGAACAGGTTGGATTCAGGAGAAACAAGTCATGTATTGATCAAATCGCCACACTACGGATCATCATTGAACAAAACTTGGAATGGCAATCACCTCTCTATCTCAACTTCATCGACTTTGAAAAGGCATTTGACAGCGTCGATCGAAAGGTGATTTGGCACTCAGCATGAGAAATCAGGATCCGGTTTTTCAACTCCAATGTGAAGTCAGTGCTACTCACTATACGGATCAGAGACTTGGCGCGTCATAAAGAGCATCTCAAACAAACTGCAGACCTTCATCAACAGTTGTCTTCTCTCAATACTCAAGATCAGATGGCCGGCCAAAAAAGATCAGCAACAGGGATCTCTGGCAATGAGCGGACCAACCAGGAACCGATTGTGAAACAAATAGGCAGGAAGAAATGCAGATGGATTAGCCATACTCTGAGGAAACCATCAAGTGACATCACTAGACAAGCCAACGCTCGAGTGGAACCTGAAAGAGAAGTGGCGAGTTGGAAGTCCAAGGGTGACTTGGAAGAGGTCATGTGGTTAGGACTTTCGCCGACCATGCACATGGTCCGGGGTTCGAGTTCACACCGGCGCACATCCGATATCTATGGTCGGCCTGCGAAATTTGGGCTACCGATATCCATGCTGAAAATTCCATACTTGTACCAAAAATACGGTGTGGAATCAAGCTGTAATCAAAAAAAATGTGAAGAGGAGATGGAAGCGCGTGAGCAGACTTAGAACGCGGTGAAAACGTTGGCAAAGGACCGAACGCACGGCTGAAGCCCTATGTTCCTCTGGGTATTAAAGGAAATAATAATAATGTGAAGTCAGTTCTTCTATATGGGTCAGAAAACTGGCGCATGTGTCACGAAAGGCATTTTCAACAGGCTGCTGCATACTTTTATCAACAGCTGCCCACCTGGCTGGCTCCATACTGAAGATCAAATGGCCTGCCAGACGGCCAGAAAGAACTAGTAACAAGAATCTATGGGAACAAACTAATCCAAATACTATCGTTCAACAAATTTATAGGAGAAAATGGAGATAGCTTGGACATATGCTGAGGAGACCATCGAGTGGAATCCAAATGGGAAGTGATGAGTGGGTCGTCAGTGTGAGGGTGACATGGAGGAAATCGTGCAAGGAGGAGATGAGAGATTACAGGCAATCGTGGACCCAGTTGAAGAGGAGAGCAGAAAATAGAACAAAGTAGAAATGTGTTGTTAAAGCCCTATGTTCCACAAACAATTGTTTATTTCTAACTTTTGTGAATATACAGTGGATTCGGAGGTAGATTTTGTCAAAAAACTGATCTCAGAACAATAATGAAAAAACCGCTTATAGCTAACAGAAAGTGATTTATTCTAAATAAAAACTACCATTTAAACAATAGATATTCATCTCTTTTAGATGAGTGGCCACGGAGTACCAACGCACCAGTAATAACCTTGAACGTATATCATTTTCCTTGGATTACAGATTCTGTCGTTATTACAGAGCCCGTATGAACGAGTGCACGAATCGATGTACAAATTTCATCCTGATCTCTTTTTTAATGACTGTTTGGACAATAGGTTAACAGCAGGTTAGAGATAGGATTACTATTAGTGTCACGGTTGCAGTTAAGGTTAGTATTTGGTGTAAGGTAAGGTACCAGGGTAAGGGTGTGTCATTTATCTGTATTTTGTAAGTAAACAAATGGAACTAGAGTGGTTCTTATAGATAAAACCGTTTCGATAGCTATGAAACTTGAAAACTGATACCCTTCATTGAAATCGGGAATTACTTCTCAGTTATCTCAGGGCAACATATCGTCATTCATGTGTTATTATTATTATGTTAATTTTTCTGGTAAATAAACGGCTTTTTGATGTAAAATATACGGTAAGTTCTGTAATCCAACGAATGGTATGCGTTCAAGGTTATTGGTGCGTTCGCACTCCGTGGTCACCATTGATTGTGTTTGCCATTTTAAAAGAAAACACAACTAAAAATACACTTACATAGACCTATAAAACACTGGGAAAAACAGCAATCAGTTGTTTACTTGTGAAACATTTGATTCAAACGAAATAGGTATATAAGAATTCTAAGGCTCAAGGTAGTCTATTTTTTTCTGTATCGCAAACTAGATTTCATTTCCTTGAGTTCTAAGTTGGAATAAACGGCTTCAGGCTTTCAAGTTTTAGCAGAGGTGTTGCTGTTTTCAAAGGGGGTGAGGCTGCTAGTTTCACGTCCAACCTTCCCTCTTTTCCTAAATTACTACCAGCTAGTTAACTAGGCGAGGTTTAGGATTACATGAGACAGGAGTCGAACGTGGTTGAACCACTGACTCACTGTCAACAATAAGAAGAAACAAAAATTATATAACACCATGGCTAAATAAGTCTTTTTGCTTAAAAAAAACATGACTCACATATCTTCATTAGCTTCGTCAATGCCATACATTGCATTCGGTGTTTTACTGGAAACGACCAGGTTATCGCTTGCATCTCGTCGTTTCGCCCGCTCACGACGTTTCAATTCATATATCACAATAATTATAAGCAAAATTGATATCTCCAAGATTATACCAATTAGAGGCCATAAGGGAGCCCGACGATCTGCAATATAGAGAATATATATACACATATACTATATATACATGCTACCAATGCGGGTGTTAGAGAATGTAATACTGAGTTATTACTATAGCTAGAGGATTTCACTACCCCCTACTTATTACTATAACAAAATATCCAGAATTTGTATACACATTCTTCTACGTACAACTTACTGTCTTAAAGGTTTAAAGGAATGGAAAAAGAAAAAAATAAGAGTTCTTATTGTCAAGGTGTTAAGATGTCAACGAATCGGTGACCAAGGAAACTTTAAATCCTACCCAAACCTTACACTGCTCTGATAAGAGATGAAGCTTACCGGAATAAAAATATAAAAACAACTTTTATCAATTATTCAAAATGCAGAGCCAATAGTTTTCACCAAAAGTATTCCCATTGTCAGATCCATGTTTACTTATTGTATTATTATTCTTTGCAATTAATAGTGTTCTCTGAGCTGGTTGGTTTAGTTGCGGAGCTTTCGTCGTCTTTCTGGACGACATCTTCAGCGCAGTATTTAGCATAAAGTCAAATGATTTAAAATCTCCATGAATGATGATACAATTGTGTCTCCTGGTGACCAACCATCTTTACATACGTATTGACTGTTTTCTATTGATTGGGGTTTTAAACTTACTGGTCACCTGATTTACTTTTTATTAGTTGATATATTTCATCTATGTTAACGTGTTTATTAATTGCATTTTCGTTTGAGTACCAGGCTTCTAGGAATTCCCTGGCACATTTGGTGTCTCCTCTGTCTAAGATTTTGACATTATCCCAATCAAATTGATGTCCATAATTGTCTGTATGCATTGATACTACAGAATTTATATCAAGTCTTTTCACGGCTGACTTGTGTTCTTGGATTCTTATTCGAAGGGGACACCCACTTTGGCCGATGTAATGTCTATTACAGTTCATACAATTTATGCTGTAAATGGTGTTAATTTTATCTCCTTTTTCTATCGGATCTTTTGGTTTGCTTAAGATCGAATTGTCTGTCTGTCTGTTTTCGACATAGAACTTTGCACAAATGTGCGGAAGTTCAAGTCGCCACATTCCGTGTAGCACGCGAAGCAAGAGAAGAAAGTACAAGAAAAGCATAATAGAAACAGTGAGCAGAGGTGTGAGACAAAGGAGTAATAAAGAAATACAAAACAGTTTCATTGAAGATCATAAGTCACAGGGAGTGGATGCATCTGCGCCACTGAGAACGATTTTGAGCCATGTCACCAATTGTTTCCAACCATAGATTTTTACCGTCCCGAGGACCCCAGCCTGGAAGTCTACACCTTCCTACGTGGCTTAGACCAACTGTTGTGGATTTCATTGACTGATGCCAAGTTTTTGTTTGACCGCCGCTAGCTTTTTTCCAGCCTGACCCTATATCCGCTAACATTGCTCGTCGAGGGAGGCGATGGCTTGGCATACGTAACACATGTCCTAACCATCTCAGTCTTTGTAGCTTCACGACTTCGTCGATTGATTTCCCCTGTTTACCTAGAACTCTACGCCTAACCTCCATGTTGCTCACCTTATTATGCCACTTTACACGGGAAATAGAACGCAGGCACCTATGATCAAAGACAGCTAGTCTTTTCATGTCTTCCACTCTCAGTGGCCAGGTCTCACAACCATAAAGGAGGACGGAGCGGACTGATGAGCAGTACACCCGCCCTTTGGTCGATAGTCGAACATCTCGTCTACGCCAGAGTCGGCGTAAACTAACAAATGCGAAACGAGCCCCTTGTATTCGTGCTGAGATTTCGTCAGAGATCAGCCCGTTGGGGCTGATGGTACTTCCCAAATAAGTGAAGCGGTCAACGTGCTCTACCACTTCACTTCCTATTTTTAAACTAGGCGTCGATGTAGTCCAGTCCTGTAACATCATCTTGCATTTGGCGGGAGCGAATCGCATGCCAAACATTCGTAGATTGCGGCTCAAGGTGTTTAGAAGACTCTGCATTTCGTCAGCGTCTTCGCCTAGAAGGACTATATCGTCTGCATATTCCAAGTCAACGAGATTATTCCCGGTAGCAAGTCAATCCCTGAGTCGCTGAAGTCACCTAGGGTTAAGTCCATTAACACATCTATGATGAAGTTGAATAGAAAAGGAGATAATGGGCATCCTTGACGGACACCACTGGTCGTCATCAGTTCAGATGACAGCTCGCCGTAAGCCCTCACCTGGCTGTATGAGTACGAATAGAGTGCCTTAATCAGTGCAATATATTTTCTTGGAATTCCCTTTACAGCCAAGCATCTCCAGAGAACTTCCCGATCGACAGAGTCGAATGCTGCCTTTAGGTCAAGAAATATAATGACTGTTGGACGCCGGTAGGAATGCCTATGTTCTAGAATCTGTCGGAGGGTGAAGATATGATCAATACACCCTCTTCCTGGTCTAAAGCCTGCCTGGCTCTCTCGTGTTTGTGCTTCCCGAGCACCACTCAGTCTACGCATGATTATTGAGCCTAAGACTTTAGATACTATATTAGTCAAGCTAATCCCTCTGTGATTATCACAGGAAGACTTGTCTCCCTTCTTGTATATGGGGATAATCAGTGACTTACACCAACCCGATGGGACTTCTTCTGATTCCCAGACGCTGCCTAGTACCTCAGTTAATCCGGACAGTAAGCTGTCTCCACCGTACTTAAATACCTCTGGAGTCATTCCATCAGGTCCCGCTGCTTTGCCTAGTTTCAGATTGGTGACAGCTTTAGTAACCTCAGTTAGTGACGGAGGACCTGTGTCTATATCCCATTCAGGGAGGTGTTGGATGCTCGGAAGGTTGAGCGTGGCTGTGGGCAAATTAAACTGCTCCTCATAATGCTCTTTCCAACGATCCAGTCGTCTATCCTGTGAGCTAATTATAGTGCCATTTTTTTCCGAGATTGTCTCACTAATGATTTGTCTTCTCCCACCCGTTTCCCTGATGAGTCCAAAGAGTTGCCTGGTGTTGCCTATCCTCGAAGCTTTCTCCATCTCTTTGGCTTTTGTCGCCCACCACTGTTCACGGTCCTTGCGGAGACTTTTCGTAAGTTTCCTCTTGTGCAGCTTTCGCTCCTCATTGAATTCGGAGCTCGCCGGAATAAGTCTTCTAGCATCTATCAGTTCGGATGAGGCGGTGGAGATCCAGTGGTTTTTACTCACCTTTGGGTTTACCTTATTCACAGCTTTTACAGCTGTATCTATGGCTGCCTGGATATTTTTCCAAGCTTCTTCAGGGTGAGCACAGCTGTCGAACACAGATATGTGTTTAGCTAGTTCTTCCTGAAATACGGATTTAGTTTCCTGATCGAGCTGGGGACGTGATGGTTTTACCGCCAGCTGTTTCCTACGTCCGTTCAGTCGTAAGCACACCCGAGCGCGGACCAGTGCATGGTCGGTATCTACGCACGTGTTCCAGAAGGAGCGACAATCTCCTACCGACCCACGCCAACGATAGCTTATTGCTATGTGGTCTATTTGTGTCCAGCGTTGGTTTGATGAAGGGGGTCTCCAAGTCAAACAGTGTCTCTCCTTGTGTTTGAAGTTAGTGCTTACAAGAAACAAATGATTATCAGAGCAGAACTGTAGGAGACGGTCACCGTTGTCGGTTCGCTGGCACGGAACTCCATAGGTGCCACCGACATCCTTCTCAGATTGACACAATTTCCCTACTTGAGCGTTAAAGTCACCAGCTAGAACGACTATGTCTGAGCGTTTAGCCTTTCTCACCAAACTAGACAGCTTTTGGTAGAACTCATCCTTCGTTTCATCTGAACTGCAGTCAGTGGGGGCGTAGGCGGAGATTACGAAAAGGCATCGGCGAGTAGTGCAGTCCTTCCTCCTTCTTACTGATCCGTTCAGGCGGACAGCACACATTCGGCTATCTACCGGGATCCAGTCAAGCAATGTCTTTTCTGCCCTAGTACTCAAAGCTATCCCTACGCCAGCTAATCCTCGTGAACTAGCTGTGGCATCTCCTGACACCCTCAAGGTGAATTTTGCAGATTCAACCTGTTGGCCAGGTGGGGTTAGGTGAATAACCACACTTGGGTCTTGTATGCGTGTTTCTGAAACACAGCATACATCAATGGCTCGTGATGCCAGGGTCTTGGCTAGTGATGCTTGTTGTCCTATTTGGCAAAGTGTCCTAACATTAAGAGCTCCTATATGAAATTGGTGGCGCGGCTTTAAGAGGCTGTCGGTGGTGGTTTTTTGGCTTCCATCGTTTTTAGTGGACGCAGAGTGGAGAGGAAGTGGAGAGCTATCAAGTCGAGGAGTTGCATCAGTGGAAGGAAGGCAAGATGATAGAGATGAAGATGAAGACAAAGATGAGTGAGTAATAGAGAGGTTTCGTGTGCATTTCGGATTGTGAGGGCGATTGTTACTTCCCGGCTGCCCACACCGTGGAAGTTGGTTGCGTGACCGCAGAGCCCAGGGGACAACTGCTTGAGGCCGGTCACACGCGGCCTGTTTTTGTTTGTTCTTTTTGTTTGGTGTGTCTCAGTAGCAGATTTATCACTCCCGCCCTGTGACACGGCAGCAGGAAGCGCGGTCGTTGTTAATCCGGGCCACGGCCGATCCGGCATGAAATTTTGTAATTTTGTATTGGACATGATGTTGGATTGGGTAGCTGCTTTTTGTTTAACCGCTATCCAAACAACCTGCCTGGCATGGTAGAACCTCAAGAGACATAAGTCTCAGCCAGTATAGCTTGATTAGGTCATTGCGGTGTTCAAGCCCGACCACCACGTCAAGGTAGCAGCTTTCGGTCGAATTAAGCGATTCGGCTGGTTTGTGTGCTACATTTATATCAAACGGTTTCATTATTATTCTATTTTCGTGTAGGATTTTTATGAAATATGATAGCTTAAACTGATACACTTCTGTGCTGATTTCCACACTGATGTTTCAGTGTAGTAGTGACAATAATAGATTCACAAAACAATCTGCCTAAGATTGTAAAGTGTGCATGGCATTTAGTATTAGGTGTGAATATCTGAAAATAATAAACCTTGATGAGGCGGGATGATGTTGCTTATTCGCCTGACCACTCACTCGGCTCCGAATGAAACGGGCTTCGGATTCCAAATTCTGCTCCACCTATTTTTACCTGGGGTTATGAACGGGTTGTATCATCAGTCATTAAAATGATAAACGTGGTTCATAGGCCAGTAAATTGAAAATCTGTTTCGGGACACTGAATTCTGACAAGTTGTGATGAAGTACAGGATGAATAAAAACATGTTGCAGAAACTAACTAGCTACTTTAGGCTGAATACAACTGATTTTTGTAGTCGACTTTACTAGAAAGAACGACTGCATTTTTGAGGATCGTGCAGCCAAGGGTTATTTTTGATGAACAACAACGGTGAGAACTTTCGACCTAACTCTGCTTCTATCTCATTCCCTAAGTATTTGTAGACATAAGATCTATCCACAATATAAGGTTATATCTTTTTCACATTTTCTACGTTAAATGACATCTAATCCAACGTAGGGTACATCCATTCCACTGCCTTCATAAGGTGTTCCTCAAAATAAGCGAAAGGGTGATTGCGAACGTCTACCGCTTACAGCCAGACTGGTGGACATTCTAGTTTACTTAAGGAAGCTGAAAAACCCTGATTATTCAATAGTAATGTTAGACATCGGCTTCAGAATCCAGTCGAATCTGATATCATATGAACCTGTTTCGGCCGCCGGAAACAATGGGAATGTAGCTCCTAACGATGCTCCACTGATTTGTGGATCACAATTCAAGTCGAAGACTGGAATAGTGGTCTTTTAAGACTACCGCCTACTTCGGTCTAAGCGTCCGGGGAGTATCCCAGCTTTCGCACAATCTATGAGATTTTATGTGGCTCATCGCTTAGTGTCCGAAATGTACTAAGTTTGTGATTTAATAATCGTAAAATTCAACATCGAAATGACGTCTTTTGGAGCTTAAAAAGTCGATAAAAAGGCATACTGATGCGTACAGCGTGACAGTCAAGACATTTACAATTCAGGGTTCATTTTCTCTGCACGTAAAGCAAAAGCCGAAGTGAAATCGGAAGGAATGAAGGAAGTGTAGAACTGACTGATTAACTGGGACCCTCGAGAGACAATGGCTTGAGACTTATTATAGATGGTTCAAAATTGTTCGCAGTGGTGAAGATGTATTCACTACTTACAACTTCCAAGATCCAATAAATAGTCATATTATCTTCCATATGCACATTCTTCCTGCCGTACATTTCCATTCATTATTATTACTTTGAATACTCTCTACCTTTGTGTGCCATAGGGAGCATCAACACTAGAACTGCTGCACTTCCGTAAAACGTCCTACGTTGAAAAATCGGTCAATAAGTAGCTATTATTGGGCATCTTTTTCGCCTCAATACATCAATCTTCTCAGTTATCGATCCGACACTGACTGATATGAATCTTCGACCAACCAATCCAGTCTCAACAGGGTATTCGCCCTTTCTATATGAATTCATACTACTATTAAGACACCTACACAACCTATTAATATGCACATACATGAATACAGCCATCACAATAAAAACATCACTAAAAAACTATTTTTGATTTACCACACTCCACTTTAATTCAATTTCAACAAAAATACGAATTATTGAAATCTTCTTCAACAAAACAAAATGCTGACAAACCTTTTACTCGTAAATAAAATGCTGCAGTATCATTGCCAAGTGCTCCACGAACAAAACATGAATAAACAGCTCTATCGTCTGGTTGTATTGAATCGAATACAATTTGATCATTGGATATATTTTTAGTTTCAAAATGTATACGATTTTCACTGTCATAATCTTGTATATAAGCTTGCCCATTACTTTGTATAGTTATAGGAACATCATTTCTAACCCATGTAATAGGTTCAGTAATTGGTGGATAGGCAACAACATCGCATAAGAAAGTATATTTTACACCAGAATACGGATTTACACTACGTTCATATTTGTGTATCAATGGTGGAACTTGAAATACAACGCCGACGCATAATTAATTAATGCAGTATGAAAAAAAGAGAGAGGAAACAGAGAAAACATTAAATTTGATATTTTGTTTTTCACATTTCATAATTATCATTTGTTCGTAGATGGTTAGAGGCAATCAGAAGGAAGTCTTAGATCTAGTTTTCGTGTTTGTTGGCAATCGTTGCGAAGGCATATCTGCAATCTTGAAGGGACTCATGTCGCTTCTGTGATTTAAATTCAGCTAACCCATAGTTGCAGTCAAAGACGTTAACCCTAAGCTACTCGGGCTAGCGATTAACCTCCTGAAGGACTGTAATAGATACTCGATAGTAACTATCGTCATTTGTCAAATTAACATTTAAACAAATCTGATATAATGATAACCTCAAACACTATTACAGTAGTCAGAATGAACATAGAAGTTGACTCTGACCAGGTCATGAAGACTATACAATTCAGTTCCAACTAATTAGTTAGAAGCAGTTAAATCAAAACGTGGCAAAAATCCATTAAAATTCTCTGATTAGTAATTTGAGGAATGTAGGAGTCAATGTCGGCTCATTACGGTCCTCAGAAGGTCAACAATCAGTGTTTTGAGACTCTTTGTGGCATACCTTCGAATTGTCCAAAACGAAGCCAACATATTCAAGTTTTAATACTATCAAGACTGTGAACATTTTCAATTTACGCTTATTTAATCATTTTCTCTCCATTCACACTCGTTGATTTTCAACATTTTCATTTTTTTTCATTTACGTACATTCTTTCAGAGATTTGCAAGTTGAACTGATAGATAAATATGAAAGATTTTGCGTTGATCTACCTCTCCTACTTTAAATAAACACTAGGATACTGTTTACCAGAGGTGGGAAACATAAATTACTGGGTGAAAGCATTTGGAGATATGAATCAAAATGTCACGATTACTGAGATGCTTTTCCCCCATCCCATCTCGCCCCGGGTAATACATGCTTTTACATCTCACCCACTTATCATCTTCTTTTTGGTGTGTTCCACGCGTGTCACTAGTTTCTCACAACTGTCAAAGTTGTTACGCATACCACTTGCCTTTTGTAAAATTAGTCTGTTTATTAGACATATAACATAGCAAAACAGAATTATTTATAGCGTGACATTTTGAACACAATTTATTTATTCTTCACAATCATGTCAACAATGAATTAGTTCAAAACGTAATGCAGTGTTTGAACTCATTTCTAGGAATAAATCTCATGTTCCAGACGATGAACCGCACACACATTATGTGAGGGCTGTCCAGTTTGAAATAGGTGGAGTAGGATTCAAGCCCAGGAGCCACTGGCTGAAAGTCAAGCACTTGAATCAATGAACCACATCTTCAAATTCAAAGAGAACTGAACAGCTGATTCGTCCTAATCTGTGACTCTTCGCCAGTACGCTCCCAGGGATCCCCACGGAGGATCGAACCCAGGACCATAAGGTTATAAGGTGAATTCATTGACCAACCATTGGAGTGCCACCCAGTAAATAGTCCTGTTTCACTCTCTGTTGCATATCCAATAAACAAATTAATTTGAAAAAAAAAAAGTAGATTATGCTGAATGATTAGCATGGCTGTAAGCAACTAAAGGAATATATGAAGCACACCAAAACGAGACGATAAACATGAAATATATATATATATATATTATATTATATATACAAATTAACTTGGAATTACTGACTCCCACCGTCAGTAAGTGTTACACATATATTACTTTCACTTGTCTTTTTTTATTGTTTCCTCTTCATAAGCATACTTTCATACAAAATGCAATCGTGTTAAAATCTTACAGTCTAACAGGTACCCACCCATAGTCAAAAAAAGAAATTCACTAGGGATATGAGATTTATTCAAAATAGCGTATGATTGATTGTCTGATAACATTTACTAGTGTATTTAATAAATGTAATTCACAAATGATGCGTAAATTTAAAGTTATCCAAATGAATCAATTACTCTGTTCGAAATAACCTTCACTAGTCACAGTTAGAGACTAGTTTACCTGGAGGCTTGCTTAAATCACTAGGCTACCTAATTCTTCATCCATTAAAGTGAACCCTTATTTACTCTCTTTTCCTCTCACGTTTTAACTATCCAATTACATTTCGAAGTTACAATCTATACTCAAACTTGTTTTCATACAGGTTTTAACCTACGGCTATGGGTTTTTCAAAAGAAATTATGAAAAATCATAGCAGGTTATTAGGTCACACACCGGATAGAACCATACTGTTTCAAATGATGCATTACCGATTAAAAATGGTAATGGAATATGATGAGAACTCTGTAACATGTATATTGACATATTTTCCAGAACAAAGTTACTATTATTACACGACCGATAATCATACTAATACTACTAATAATACTAGTCGCTCAGATGAAGTGTATGTATTTAGTTCGAAATAGCGTTTTACTGATTAAAACTTGAATGTATGAGCTGAGCTTTTCAGTTATTTCTTTTTTTCATAAAAGATAATAATTGATACACATGTACAGTAGTATCGTCCCAAAAACCCAAGCAATCAGTCTAGAATTATTATTGTCCCAAATATTGAAACATTGTGTATTGAACAGTCTGACTGGATGGAGGATTTCATCATGAGCTGACATCAGTTAGAGAAACATTGGAAAGCCAACTGGGAGTACTGAGCAGTTGTTTCGCCCTAGTTTGGGACTCTTCATCAGTACGCACCCACTGGGGTTCGAACTCAGGACCTTCTGGTTACAAGGCGAGCTCGTAGACCATTGAGCCACTGTGACCCAATCCAATGATGTCACAGCTCATCATGAAATTCGCCATACAATCAAACAAAATCCCTACAAAACTAATACTTGAATATTAAACAGTCAGCAGAGCAAATAACTCACTGTTTATTTCTACTTCGGCTGTCTCCATTGTACCAGGTACTACGTTGAACATACAATAGTATTTGCCATACAATTCTTGATCATAAGCTATGGTAAGAGAAAACAAATTCGTATAATTGTTAACATAATTAAAAGAAGAGGAATAAGAGAAAACTAAGAAATACATTATTAGAGTGTACATAAATCGTACGACTCTTCGATGCAACTTAAGCACTGTTTTCAACCTACAGGTTACGGGTTCCAGACCGGCTTCATCTACATCAGTCTGGACAACTGTGAAGTACCATCAGCCCTGACACGATAAGTGTGGCACTTAGCCTGTTACATAAAAGAAGCTGCGCTAGGACATTAAGTTCAAACAAACAAAAACACTGCATATTAATTAAGCAAAAATTTTTTTAAGTAAACAATAACGGGTAATTTTGGGTGTTAAAAAATCCTGTTTATTAGTCTGCACAAATAGACCACTAATTTTCCGCCATCTTAATTTCCTGTATTTTGAAGATCAATATTAAAAATAACTGATGAAAGAAAACTGTCTCCATCAGGTATGCAGATAGTGTAGGTTCGGTTCCGCGCCAATGCACTCCTAAAGTAAACCCCACCTAGTCTACTGGCCGGTAGTAAGCCCAGAAAAGAGGGAAGGTTGAACATGAGGTTAGCAATCCCATTCCAAAAGAAGAAAACACATCACTGCCGCTGAAACTTCAGAGCTCAAAGTCCTATATTCCATCTGGAACGAAAGGAATAAAAATATTCCCCTTGCCATATAAAAAATTTTCATTTATGAAATAAAATGGAACAAGTGTTCTTAATGAAATCTTACCAATATTCTGCTGAACAAAGAAAGATGACAAAAAAAGCATCAGTATAATATCTCAATGACGATGAAAAATTATTCACACAAGATGTTTTTCTGTGCACAATGAAGACAACCGGATCAATGAGTCACATGGTAAATGATACAATAGCTAAAGCTACTATTTAGTTGATTATTGCAAAAAATCTGTGATACATTTACTCGGAATTAAGTTAAATCATGTAATTAATGTAACCAATAATACTACTATCTTAACGTGTTATATCTTCTAGTAATTACCTTATGTTTGAATTAAATGATAACAGAAATACAAACATAAAATTAAGTTCTCAAAGTATACATAAAAGTTTTCTTTCTAAAGATAGTGACAGCTTATTCAGATTATGTTCTTCGCCTGTGTGCATACTAATAACTGTAGGCACTAATAACTTAGTTGCCGAATTGCGGATTTGATCTAAAGTACGACCAGTTCGTCCAATTAGCTAGCCAGGAACCGAATGGTTTGAACTGATTCGGCCGTTTGAGCTGAATATGACCTGGTGCACGGTTGAGGAACTGTGTGCCGAAGGAGAAAAACGGTTGCCTAGTGTATAGGTCACTATGATGTGGCTATTAAGCAGTACTGGTTGACGTGATTGGTATCCAACTACTCATGTCCACTAATCAGTAGTATATAGGACCATGCATTAATACTTGATTTCTTGATTGGCATTTATTCATGGTACCAAGAAGACCACATACTTTGATCTGAATAATTTTGGTTTTCAAAGGATACTTTGATAAAAATGTCACTTCCTTGAAGTATGCAGATTGCAAATCGCGAATTAATTTGCGACTACCGAATTAGATTTCATTAATTAGTTTACTTTGCCCTACATAAGTCGGTATAACAAAGTAAAAACCCCAGACAGTCGGTGAACATAATTAACACTATTGTTTAAGAAACAAAATATAGGGTTATAGGCTAGCTATATGTAACCGATAGATAGTGAATTCAAAATAATAGATAGTTACACTGAACAGTTACGCAGTACACAAGAATCTGGACAATTAGAACTTGATATTACAGCTCCAATAACTACTTCCACCATTAATTGACGCACAAAATATTTCCATTATCTTAGGTAAGTGTTATTTTAAGAAGTCTACTTCGAATCCCTATTAGATAACTGAAATAGCCCAGTATACTGTTTACTTCACTTTCCTAGGCTCTTGGCAGAATTAACCAAGTAATTTTTGGTCCTAGCCACCTACAAAATGCTAGAAGACTTAATTTTTGGTGCCCCAAAGTCGCATAACAAGATGTGATTAGTCTCATAAGCGACTGGAAAAGGTTAGTGTAAATCAGGCTAAACTTCATAGATTCACTGAAATACAATACAATCCCCGAAATAACTGGATTAATTTAAATAAAAGTGGATTTAAAAATGAAAGTCAGTGCAATAAATTTTATAAGAAATCATTTCTATCTAAAAACAAAAGTATTATCAACTGAAATGATAATGTTCGACATATGATAAAATAAGAAAGAGGAAGAAAACAATTAACTTACAAGGCCGTAGTAAAGTTAAGTTACTCCATATTGTACCCGACTTTTCGTCTCGACTTTCGGCAACTTCATACAGATTAGGTTTGGAATGGTACCTGCCACCTTTCCAACGAACAGTAGTATACTTTATACCATTTGGTCCAACTCGGAATGCACACGCGACAACAGGACGGTGAGTCATATTCAATGCATTAATCTGCAGGTGATACGAGCCGACAACCTCGTATTTCTTTATCAAATTGACAGTACTGCTAATTTTACTTAAAACTAAAGAATTACGATTATGTTACTGTAGGAAAAATACCTCCGTATACATGAACACTGATCTGACGACTGGCGAGTTCATTTGTACATTGATAAACACCCGACATATGAAATCTGACATTGCTAAGTTGTAATGATACTTCTTCGTTTTTCTCTGAAGAAATTATGACATGTTCAGATTCCTTCAATGGTGTAAATGCTTCATTTTGTGAAGGCGCATACATCCATCTTAAAGAATGTTCGTTAGAAACAGTACGGCAAATTAAAGTGACGTATGAGTTGAAAACAATGGCAACTTCGTCTAGTTCCTTCTGATTCCCGTTAGCGTCCAGAACAATAACTTCGGGTGTAACGGAACCTATTGAAGAAATTACGCAATTTATACAGAAAGACTAATAATTTAAACATAAACTAGGCTTAAGTTAGGCAGTAAGTCGTGTATGGCAAAATGACAATAATTTACTCAAAGTATTATCTACATAGTTCTTTATGCTTATTAATAAAAAATTTACAGGAACCGAATGAACCAAGTGACTGCTCTCACTTGAAGATTAAAGTCAATGCATCATCTTGTCCCTGAGAAATGCAGTGTTGAAATTAACAGTTTACAGGAATCCGCTAATCAAAGGAAAATAATAGCTCAAGTTCACCGACTAGGGTCACAACTGCTGTAAAGAAGCAAAGTGAAAGTTAAAAAAAATCAAAAATTACTCCAGACAGTATGCCTTTTACAAATAGAGGGTGACATAAGATGAATGCAACTTTTCTTATCCGATAATTACCACCTAACTATCAAGTAGCTTACACAATCCCAAATCAAAGACACTACGAATATAAGGACGATTAAATACTACCTGAGGTCGACAGATTTTAGGAGAACACAGAAGAATACAGCGTACTTGCAGCTTCATACGCACATTAATAAAAAAAGCAGTTCACTCGTTTAAGTCGCCAAACTTTGACATAGCTTGCAAACAAGGCAGACAGAATGACGCTACACGGAGAAAAACATGCATGAGAAGAATGACTAAGAATAAAACTTGGGTGATGCCGTAGAGTATAACTCCATTATGGATAAGATTTTATTTTGATAAATCACACTGTTATACAGTAATATTAACTGATGACGTTTCGAGCACAAATTATTGCTCATAATCATATCAAGTTACACAACTTTCTCCTTCGTTTATATACTATATATATATATATATATATATATATATATATATATATACAAAATTATACAAAAAATTTATATACAAAAAAATCTTATCCATAATGAAAAATGACTAAGGGCAGGCAAGAAATGGATATCGTCGATTCACCGTTACATTACTAAGAGTCACAAACTACTAATTACTACCATTCCAAGAACACCATCCATGCAGATGAAACCTCCGTGTATCACACAGACTAGTAAACAATGACTTAATAGGTTGGTATTATGTCTAGACTAACTCCCTTAACTGTGTTTTGGTCTAATCATGCTTAGAATAAGACTAACACACAAAAGAAAGCATAACACCTCTCAATCGATGACATAGATTGAATTACCTTTTCCAAACGCCACTTTAAACTTCTACATTATTCACTCCTTAGTTTCGTCTCAAGCAGGAAATTGAACGAAGAACTACATTTAAATTCTCCGATGTTTTCATAGACTGCTTTTAGTGACCATCTCTTAGCTATAAAGTAGGACAGAGAAGAATGCTACAAACCAAACCTATTCGGATAGCACGTGGATATTTCGCCACAGCCAAAATATAACATATTGCAGTACTCAATCTTTAGTAATTGATTGGTTTCTAGTTGCCGAAGTAAATGGCCCCAATAGAAATCAGGACACAATTTCGTATCAAGACCAAAATATCATCGGCCACCAGTCCACCAAAACTGATGAGAACTTCCACGAAAGGCTAGCGCTGAACGAACTTAATGACTCCATAAGGTATCTTTAAACTAGTCATGCATCAACTGATTGTACAAGACGGATCAAAATTGTCATAAAGATTTTTGAACTGTTTACTTTATCTATACCTAGTATTATGCATTGCCTGAGTATTCAAAACAAACGCGATATCTGACGGAATCGATCTCTCAGGAGTTACCATGACCTTTTTCATATTCTCGATAATTACTGCTGACTATTATTTCTCTATTTACTACAACTTACACTTGTCCATATAATTTCTGTTGCCAATCGAAATAAGTTTTATGCATCGGCATGTTTGGGTAAGGATCTTTAGACCTATTTACACAACCTAGCTTACTTTCAGACTGGTTACAGAAATCAAAAATTTTGAAGAACAAGTTAGACTCTTGCAGTGAGAGAGAGCTAGAATGATGTTTCTGGTAAAGGTGATTAAAGTACACCGAGAAAGATAGCTGACCTAGCCTAGTCACACGGATACTTTGTTGTATACACAAAAAATTCATAAGTATGAAAAACAATACACATGAATTCATTTTTAAGGTCATAAAGACTATATCAAACACTACTGATTATGATACTACATATGATCGAAATATATTTCTCGATGAAGTAGACATGTATCAGACAAGCCTTCTGAATTTACGAATACCAAGTATAGCATTGTCGTGTAACTAATCAAGAAAAGTGGACTGCCTAATTAGAACAGTGATATACATAACCATATTAAACATGAATGTCGTGTGGTGAAATCATTAACAATTTCTTGGTTAGTAAAATAAAATGAGCATATTACAATGCGTATGAACACTTCTTGTTCAAAATTTCATTAAAATAATGAACACATTCTGTTAAATATTGAGATAATTATTCAGATATTTAAATATACTCAGTTATAATCAACATTTAATCACTTTTGTAAATCACTTTTTGATGATATCTTACAGTGTATTTCACAAAATATGATGCGTATCACTATTTGAAAATGTCACTCACAGTAGGAATGAAATGGAAAGCTTATTCCTTTTATTACAAGGTAGACACATGACAAGAATGAACGATCGATACATAAGATTAACACACCTCATACTCTCAGTCAGAAAACTTCAAGTAAAACAAGTGCTCATGAGATGTTTACAACACAGCAGTTTGCCATTTGAATGGATGAAAACCAATTGTGCAGTACAAAAGTACCTTATACTACCCATTTCATCGAGTCCTAATAGAAACAAAAAGTAAAATTTTTCGTTCTTGATCACTTGGGAAACCAATTTAAGACAAAGAAAATTAGCATTTACTGGCGAAAATTTTGACAAAATTCAACTTTGTGAACACTTAAAACGCAGATTCGAAAGTTCGACATGAATCCTACCATTAGCTAAGTGAAAGAGGACAATGAATAACTGTTTATCAACTCCTTACTTAAGGATGAGTGCTGTGATGGAACATGCTTACAAATTCACATTCAAAAGCTCTATATGCAAGGTCAACATTGACATTCATAAGCAATGACATGAGCAGTCTGCTGCATTCTCGAGTTTTCTAAATAGTATGTCATACCAATGTTCACGTTGATTTACACATTCCCGTATTTGACAGACATTTAAGCCCAAAGCTGCCTGTCATATGACAATATAAATTATTTGAAATCCTTAACAAAATCAAAGTTAGATTATATCGAAGTTGAAGTTTTATATTATCCACCAGCTAAATTTAGTTGTCACCGCATGAAAAAATATGAACATCCTCGATAATAATACATTGAATGCAATTCACTTGCTGCAGAGCTACATAAGGCATGAATTTCGATTCACATAAGTTGTGACCACTTAACTGTCTTCTCAATATGAGGTATTTATGATTACAAACATAAAATTTCTAGGAGAAAATCATAAGTCCATGATTTCATGAACCGAAAACAGCATTATAAAAAACCATTGCTATTACCTATTCCTGACGTCGTATGAATCAGAAGGATAAAGAGAGAAACGACGCCCAAGTATCTCTTTTCGCGCTTTCCAGGCATTTTAATGAGACCGCGCCGACCGACAGGTAACCAAACAAATCCACCTTATCAATGTATCATTCGATTTGAAAAGCTAATAATGATAGTACGTTGATGAAACTTTTTATTCACCTCAACGAACCGAAAATGTGAATATTTCATATATTCATTTCTCATAAACAAGTAAACAAAAAGACATTCAAATGTTATAGCGGTCATCTAGTTACCCATATCTTAGTTATAAGGGTTTCAGATTTTCTTCCATATACTTCCAAATTTTCCAAATAGGCCCCTGGTTTACGTAGCAGTAATAAAAGCTAAGAATGAGTTATTCTCCAGCGTAACAGGACGCTACAATACTGTTAGAAATGTCCTACCATTTTTCTTTTGTGAGCCCCTTGAAATGAGTGATGAAGAATGTCATCAGTAGGTGTGTATTTGCAAAAGTAAGGTAAAATTGTCATGAAAAACCGATCTCCTGAATGACACATGACGACAGTAACCCAATTAAGTCTGCCTGCTGTTTTGAGAGAAATTTCAGTCCGAAGTTATCCCTATTAAAAGTATGATCAAAATGACACCATAAGGAGAACAACTAAAGCCCTCAGCTAGTTCAACCTGATGAAAACGTCTGAAGTTTGCATTACAGTGGTTCTAGACTGCACCCTCACCGATCCAAATGTAATAATGATTTGATAACCTTGAAAGGTTATCAACACTAGTAGAAACAGCAGTTCAACAATCTGGAATCGGTTGGGATCGTATCTGATACAGGACTCTGACCAAGAAATGAGAGCAGACAGGAAATTGATAACAGATAGACCCGAAATTGGTGGGAGATAGCTGTGTGGATAAAATCTATCAAGTACGAAGCTAAAAGTGGCATTTCTTAACCTTCATCTAAGGTTGGTAACTGACGTCGTAGAAGACGTATCCACACTAGTGTTCCAACCGCTAGATTTCCCCCCCACCCCCACACACACACACTAAGCCATAGGCTACTAAACATCTGCTTCAGTTTCTGTATCCTTGGCCAAGAGCAAAAACCATAAACCTAAATTTCACTCCAAAAGTTTTCTTCCTAATCTAGTATTCTGTACCTCTTTCATGCTCTCTATTTTCATTACGAGCATCATCCATTTCTTTTTTTCTCAGATTAATCAGTTAATCCTCCCTTCCTAATTCTTTCAGGATGCATCATACAAAACAAGCTACTGATAAATTATCACAAGAACCTGCTACACAGGCAAAGTGTTCATAGCGTAGTGGCAAGTAATTGCCCGGAATTATTAGCCACAGGATTAATCACTGAAAATTTGATTCTGACCCTCACTGTTTAAGTCAACTTGTTTAGCTGAAGGCTTCCGGTCAAGCATCCACACCATATGGTACTCCATCGTGTTACGTTTGTTCACACACGATCCCTGGCTAGTTAAGCAGTTATCTCGCACTCCAATTCGGTCCCAAAATATACTTTGTAATTTGGACGATCAATTCTGGTGTTTCGCTTTACCTTTGGTCTGCGTGGAACGAATACCATAGAAGTTGTGGATATTAGTACTTGCGTTAATATTACTCGTACTAACCGTTAACGTCGAAAGCCTCAGCCTCTTATCTAGCTTAGAGTATTGAGAGTCAAGTTGGGAGTAACCGAAATGACTGCGAACTGCAGAATCAAGTGGTCAAAATCTATGGATACTTAAGAAACAATGCATTGCGGATCCAGCTATACTGATCTGATGTAGGTCGATATTGCATTGTGTTTAGATAAACCTCCACGTGTCTCTTCGCCCATCAGCAGTCATTTTCATCGACAAATGACATTATTTAATTGACTTGTGAATAATTATGTAGAATAAGACTGCTGCTCAGAAATATATCAGGTGATTTGTAACGATATAACTGATGTACATACCTTGTACTCAAGTCTAACATTATAAAGACAGACCACAGAATGTCTACGGACACATTGGTTGCTTGGATTAAAGCTTAATTTCCGTCACGTAGGAGGTTGAGTGGAACTTGCACGAATCCTTGCTTTTTCGTATGTGCAGTCATTGTTTATCTTTAAACTTGAAACTTGCCTCAGCATACTCCAAAGTGAAAATTGGTAAAATTGATACACATCTACAAAATTCCCTTAGGACTAAGTTTCGGTCAAAATTTTCACGTGACTACAAATTTGAATTTGGGTGACGTCATATGTGTGGTAACAACACCTTTCAGTTGGACTCACGTGATTTTACTGTCGAAAACATTTAGGGGAGCAATAAGGAGAAAATCTTATTAAGGAGTCGGCTCCTAGGGCCTACATGTCTGATTTGTTGGTAAAATATGAGAAGTTATCAATTCAAAACCTTCGTGATGATATTGGTTGTGACATTCAGGGTGTACAGTATTCGTGAAATGTTAGGAATCTTACGATAATACTAAATTTGCAGATACGTATGTCAGCCAAATCTCAGAAACTGTCAATGTCCAGCTCTTACTACGCTGGGCCTCACGCTGTCCCTCGAAGACTTTCAGAAACACTTTGTGCTAACCAACGTGAAAACCAAAACACAGATTGACGACTCGAGAATTCTTTATTCTTACGTCAACATGTAACCAGTAATAAGGTTATTACGCAAGGTCTAGGAATAAATGTTATAACAATAAGTCACGATAATACCTCCAATTGTTTTTTATCCTCCTCTGAACAACGAATGATTAGACGGTGACTGCCGTATTGATGACTCCCACGAAAAATGAGGAGGAGTCGAGTTTGAGGAAACAACCATGAATTGATCGTTCAATCTTCAACTACATTGACGACGTAGTGGTATTCAGCCTGAAACAGGTGTCAAAAGTTCAGATAAACATATTTTGTATGTAGAAAGATATTGTAACCTTCGCATTTCATGCTTTCTAACTCACTTGTGACTATAACAGGGACCAGGCAGTAACACGAGTCTGAAAGATAGTACAGATAGCAGAGATAGTGCGCTGCATGTAGAAACTATTCAAACACTTGTGTCATACCTGAGGCACGTCACTGCTGAAAAGTAGACTTGTCTGACGGAGTTTGGCAGGCAAAGGTAAAGTAGAGCCTATTAGCATTTAAATATAGTAAATGTTAAGTTTTTCGGGTTTTTCCACCATTCTCTCTTAAGCTCAGCGAGACACTATTTGTATTACAGTAGTCAAATGAAGGATGCAGTACTAAAAAGTCTCCACCGTTTCTTGCAGTAAGTATATGAAACTAAGTGTTAACAAATATCTGCACATCATGAACTCAATTATTTCTAAGCGTCAATTAGATTTTCGAAGAGAAAATATTACCTCCATGTTACATACTGAAGTCACAAACAAGATGAGAAATTCCATTTCACACATGCCGTCGTTTTCTTACTACTTGACTTACCGTCCGCTACCTCACTAACTACCACTCTCCAACGATCATTCTGTCATGCTATAGACTGGTCGAATGAGCATAGTTCATTTTGATAGGCCCCTTTTGAATTGAAATAAATAGATAAAATTTTCCCTTACTGTTTTGTAGTTTTCTGCTTAAGTTTGTGCAACACTGAAACGTTTTGGAAAATGAATTATTAAGAGGATTTACTTGTCCAGTGTAGCAACCGGATCATGTACTCGTAAAACCGCTGCCACTATAGCAAATTACAATTTCCACGTATGCTATCCGAGCACTGTCATTAGCGCAGTGGGTTCATTATTTACAATTGATTTGTATCTACAGACTAACAATATTTTTCTGATAGATCACAGCATCTAAGTAGCCTCATAATTCGAAGTCACTTACACAGGAGCAGAAATTTATTTCGGACAGTGTGATTTAGGCCTCCCGGGACTTCAGAAGCGCCCATGATTTATACTGATACGCCAGAACTGTGGGTTGAAAAGCAGTTAGAATAGATCGTTCATCCTTCACGCACCTAGTCCTGTTTCGTACCTCCACAGATTTCCATTTTCTGAGAATTTCTCGTCTTCACGTACAAAGACGCAACCTGATCAAATTTCCCTACATTGGAATCTATTTTACATGCTGCGCAACTATTTAGGATTTTACGAATCTTATGAATTTTTATTCATATATCATCACTTTAAAAACTCCTCTGTTGATACGGAAATTGTACCGATCTAAATAACACCTGTAACTATGCCAGCATATGTGCAAAAACAAAGTTGTCAATTACGTCTCAAAAACCGTAAATGCCCAGCTCTTGCTACGCCGGGCCTCTGGCTGTCCCTCGAAGCCTTTCAGAAACGCTTAGTACTAACGGACGCAAAAAGCAAAACACCGATTGGCGACTTGAGAATTCTTTATTCTAACACTAACATATGAGCAGCATAATAAGTAAGGTCTATGAACAAATATAACAATAATAAATCACGATATTACTTCTGACGGTTTTTGATCTTCTTTCTGAACAGCGACCGATGAGACGATGACTGGTGTATTGATGCCTCCGCGAAAATATAGGGAAGTTGGGTTTGGGCAAACAACCATGAATTGATCATTCAATCTTCAACTACATTGAGAAAGGTGTAAATCTACGTCTATGTACGTGCCGAATCCAGGACATGACAGAAAACACCAGCCAGGCTCTACTTTGATTAACTCACCTACCAATCACAGCGCAAATTCCATTCGCATATATATGACTTCAGTTCCTAGGAAACGGTCACAAGCAGTACCAAATAACCTTCAACAAGAAAAAATCCAACCAGAAGTCATCGCTTCCCTGCTAACAACAACGCTATTAATAATGAACATAAGTCTGTAAACAACTCTTGACTTTCTCAATAAACGATCTGTTGCCTGGCTCTTGTCTTACGTCGTTACATTTGGTGTTGCTGCCTGTCGAGAAACGAAAGTCTCATCACTTAAAATTTTTACGGGAGGAATATGGATTTTCTTGAAGGAGACATCAGCGAAGATGCTTTTACTTTAAACGCTGGTGAGAGTTTGGGCGAAGGCAGCATGTGATGGTGTAGTAAACAGAAGGGCAAGCAGCTTG